ATTTGCCTGGAGTGCAGAGGTCTCCAGCCAAATGGTGGTGCTGGGTTTGCAGCTCAGGGCCAGGTGGACAGGCCTCCCTGGAGCCCCAGGGTGAGCAGCCCGCAGGTTTGGAACTTCCTTTAAATCAGAGTTACCAAGGCAACTCATTAACGTTGTGACTTTTTCTGAGAGGGGCCAAGCTGAGCTGCAGGACCAGACATCTGTCTCAAAGATCCCCGCTCCACCCAGAGGCTTCTGCTCCCCCCGACCCCGCTCCCACCCAGTGGCAAACCCACCCAGAGACAGACTCGGCCCTTGAGAAAGGGTGCCCAGGAGTCTCCAGAGATATTTACCATGCAGGCCAGATTGCCTCCCCCAAGGGCTGGCCCCAGTATCTAGCTGGGAGCTACCTGGGAGACTGTCTGGCCTTCCCATAGCCAGGAATGCCTCGCCTGATGCCTGCTGTAGGTGCTGCACGATCCAGGGCCCTCAGGTGTGCCTGCCCCACGACCCCCCGCCTCCTGCCTGGCACACTGACTGAGCAAGAGAGCCCTGAGCCCAGAGTGCAGGTGTCCCCGAGCCCCCTCCCAAAGTCGGGCCCTGAGGGGACCCAGCAGGGGAAGGAAGATACCTCAGCAGGTCACCCTCCCCAGGTCGTTGCCACCTGCAGACAGAGTGCCCCCCCAGCCCCAGGACCTCTCGCCCAGCCCCGCCGGAGGAGGTCCAGCCTCGTGGGGCAGCACCGTGCTGGTGAGATGGGGTGGGGCACGTTCTTCAGGCCTGCTGTCCTTCCCCATGGCGGCTTCGTGAGCAGGAGGGGACGTGGCAGCAAAGCCTGAGACCTGGCCAGGAGCCCAGAAAAAGTGGCTCTGGCTTGGGAAGGGCAGCGAGGGGACAATTCCACTGTCCTGAGCCAAAGCTGACCTTCAGGCAACCCGGGAAGGCAGCACTGAAGGGCCCCACGAGGAACCTCGTTGTTGGCCGAGGGTCAGCACGACCACCGTGGGGCCCAGGCCCGAGCCTGCTGTCCGTCTGTCCATCCGCCCACCTCTTCCAGGAGAACAAGGCTGGTGACCCTTGATGGATGCCAAATCATGCTTCCTCTGCCATTTTTCTGCGTGGCTTTCTGCAAATATGGGGCATCGGCTGTATCCGCCCGCCCCCTGTCCCCTGTGCCCTTCATCTGGGGGAAGGTGACCAGGCCTTGAAAGTTCCCAGGCCACTTCCCTAGAGCGACCTCATCACCATGTCATGAGCCCTTCTGACAGCAGGGCCTGGGGACCGTGGCCACGCCCCATACCACCCACGAGACACGTGGCGGGAGTGCTGTGGAGCCCAGCCGGCCGCAGGCCGCAGAGCCCCAAGCCCCTCCCAGGCCTGATCTGGCAATTCCGATGCCCTCACTCTGAGCGCAGGACGCACCCGGGACAACAGCACACAAGGTCTCCGTACCGAGTTTTTACATCGACTATATATGGGAATAGTAATATTTGGGGTATACTGGGGTTCAATAGATTATTAAAATTAATTCCACTGTTTCTCTTCGTAGAACATTTAAAACCACGTGCGTGGCTCACACATCTCTGCTGGATACGCTGGTCTGGGTTGACAAAGGCAGCTGACCAGACCCAGGCCAGGCAGACAGCCGGAACCCCAAAGCCACCGCTCCTCACGCCAGCACCAGGGAAGGTCACCCTTCTGTCCCCAGATTCCAAATGCAGGCCGGGACGGGGTCACCACCCAGGGCCATCCGGGATCCCCTGAGACATGGGGTGCAGGTGGGGCCACTTGGGCCTGAATCTTCAGTTACATGGCAGCACTAACTTGAAAGCCATTTCAGTTGACTTTCAAATTGATTTTGATGTTTGTGCCAACATCTCAGTGATTTTTTTCATCGCTTTATTGAGATAAAATTCACACACCATGGAATTTACCTTTAAAGTACACAACACCATGCCTCCAGTACACTCAGGTGTGTGCAACCATCACCCCAAATCCAAGAGCACATCGCCCCAGATTACCCTGTCCCCCTCAGCAGTCACCCCCACACCCCAACCTGGCAACCTTTGCCTGTTCGTTGTGGTTGGACACCCTCAGAGTGGAGGGTGTGAGCTCCAAGGACAGGGGTGGGGTGGGGCTCTAGCCATGGGCAACGGAGAGCCCTGGGAGGGACGGGAGGAGGGGGCAGCTGAGCCCAGGGGTGGTCGGGGGCTGTGAGGTGGGAATCCTGAGACCAGACAGGGCAAAGCTGCAGGAGTGACAGTGACCCTGGCAGTGGTGGGGGAAATGAGGGAGGATGGGAGTGGGAGGTCTGGTCTGAGGAAGACAGTGACCACGCTGGGGATTCGGTAAGGGGAGGAGCTTGTGTGGGGTGGGGGGACCTGCCCACCTCCAGGCCAGCAGTCTGGGAACCTCGGAGCCCCCCCTGATGAGGAAGCAGGGTCCTTGCATCACAAGCGTCATCTCATCTTGGTCACTTCTCCCAAGAGCCCGGTGGGTCTATCTCATCCACCCTGGTCCACAGTGGGGGAGTCTGCAGGGGCAGGACTGCTCCAGGGCCACGCCGGAGGGGCCTCAGCCATAACTGAGCAGAGTGGCTCCCAGTCACAGGCCTGCTGGCCCTCCGGGCCCACCTGAGGAAGGAGGAGACAAGTTGGGTCTCTGAGTCACAGCTGGGATCTGAGCTCTGACAGCCATCCAAGACACAAGCCTCTCCTGGCCCCCGGAGGCCAGGGTGTTCTCCTGTGTATGTAAAAGGGCAGAGCACAGTTACGGGAGATGTTCCAGGGCTAGGTGCGGTGACAGTTAATTCTGCGTGGCAACCTGGCAAGGCCATGGGGCTCAGACATTTGGTCAAACACAGTCACATGTTGCTGTGGAAGTGTTTTAGATGAGACTAACGTTTAAAACGGTAGGCAAAGCCACAGTAGTAAAGCAGAGACCCTCCACCATGTGGGTGGGCCTTGTCCAATCAGGTGAAGGTCCTAAGAGAAACGACTGAGGTCCCCTGAGAAAGAGGGAAATCTGCCTCCAGACTTGAGCTGCTCCTCCCTGGGTCTCCAGACTGCCGGCCCACCCTGTAAACTTTGGACTCGACAGCCCTCATAATTGCTTGAGCTAATTCCTTAAAAATCGGTCCCTCTCTCTCTGAGGGAACTTGACTAACAGGTGCTAACAACGTGGCAGCATGTAAGACATAAACAGGGGTGTCTGTGGGACATGTGCTGAGAAGGGAGAGGTCGAGGCACCTGCAGGGGTCCCCAGCTTTAAGGAGAGGCTCATGGCACTGGACGGAGCCCAGAGCCCGCACCACCTCCCTCCCTATGCCAGGAGGACCTTCTGGTGTCCACGGTGTGAACGTGAATAAGGGAATCTCATTAAAAGGGAGCTGGGAAGGGTGGAAGGGGGCCGCTCACAGGCCTCCACTCCTTGAGTCTGCAGACCCCAAACAGGCAGAGCCAGCACCTGCGCCTCCAACAGGAGGAAGGGCAAGTGTCCTACCCAGAGGGAAAAGACGCTTTCTCCCCGCGCAGCAACAGCCCAGCCAATGAGAGACGGTCCCAGCGCAGCCGCCAGGAAGCCCCGCCACCCTGAAGCCCGCTTCCTCCAAGGGGCTCCCTTTCTCAGCAGCCCCTCCCAGCTCCCTCCTGTTTCTCTGTAAAGTGCCATTCCTTTCCTTTGTTAGCCGAACTTACAGTTCTTGCTGTAGCCCAGTTGTCCTGGGCTGCAGTTTTCTGCTGTTCCCAAATAAACCCATTTTGTTGATAAAATAACTAGCTGTTTTAAGGACGACAAGAGACTGTGCAAGGGCCAGATGAGAGGCCTGCCTGGGGGCGCGGGGTACACAGTTCTCCGCTCGTCCTCCAGGGACAAGCCCGGGCCACACCACGTGGGGCCCGCCTGCCCATCACACGTGGCAGCACCAGCCCGGGAGGGTTGGGGTGGGCCAGTCCTGCCGGCTGAGGGAAAGACGGGGAGGGGACGGGTCTTCAGGGGCGGGACATGGCGCCGTGACGGGTCCCCAGAGGGGCTGCTGCGCATTACCCCGACCTGCCCTTCCACGGTGGACCTCGGCGCTCCCCCTGGCTGCGACCTGGGGTCCTAGAACAGGCTTTGTCCAGCTAGGGTGAGCGCCCACCTGCCCTCTGGTCTCTCCCAGCTGTGCGGGCGTCCAGCGCTGGCCACGGGCGCCGGAGGCCCCAGGCCGCCTGTGGGCGGTGCCCTGGACCAAGACGTGCTCCACAGCCTCCGCCTCCGCCCCTCGCAGACTCGGTCGGCGCCCCGGGGTCACTCACCTGAGCCAGCGGGGTCCGCCCGGAACCTTGGTCCGGCCGCGGCAGCGGAGTCAGCAGTCGGCCCGGATGGCTT